CCGTCTTTCTCCGTGTATCCAAGGTAGACGGAGACACACGCAGTGGCATTGGCGCAGGATATCGGGCTCCAGTTAACGTTCAGTGAATTGTGCATCACACGACACACGGCGTCGCACACACACACATGCTTTCGCGAGGTGTATTGCTTCGGTCGATGTCAGGACTGAAGATTCCACCTTCTCTGCAGCGGTGGTTTCATTGGTACCCTCGCAGGGGAGGCGAGTTTCTTGGCGACATGCTTGCCGGTCACAACCTCTTTATTGCCGACATCCCACGCAAGTTTGATGCCCAGCACGCGCGTCACTTCTCTCTTGTGGAGTCGCTCTGCATCACTCCCCTCTTTACGCTGACGATGGTTCACTACTTCTCTAGCTTTTTTCTCCACCCCACACGATGGCAGATGATCCCGGTACTCATGAAAGAACTTGCCCGCAAGACAGAGACGCAGCAGCAGTGGATGAGTGTCATGGAGAAGAAGTCTTCTACAGACGTGGTTGTGTGGCGTGCCTCAATGTCATTGATGCAGATTGTACTTTTCCCCGCCTGTCTGCTGCTCTCTTCCCTCACCCCGCAGATGATGCACGCCATGCTGGAGCGTACGAACCACATTGTACATCAGAAACTTGCATGCATCAACAAAGATGCTCCACCATTTGTGCAGAAGTACATGGATGAGGCCCGGGAGGCGGAGGCGTTTCACAGCCAACAGCTATGCATTACCACAGACTACCTTGCGGCTCTTCTCATTGTCTTGTTGGTGCTGTACCTGACGTCGTAGGCCATTGCAGAAAACACTCTTGGCGTCTGAGAGCACATACTTTTTTTGTCTGTGTATGTGTATGTGTCTCTCCTCTTCATTGTCTGACATTATGGTTTGTAGCAGGAGGAGTGAAGTTCAAAAGGAATTTTTCACTCTTTCTTTATATATATATATATTTTTTTTCTTAAATTGGATACATGCATGCATTCCTGTGAAAGGAATTGAATGCCTTTTCCTCAATCTTTCCGCTTTCCTTCCCGATCTTATTCTTTTTTCTTCTACTTTTTTTTTTTTTTTGCATTTCTGTTTCTTATGGTTCTTTTTCTTCCTGATTCTGACGCTGTGGCACAGGTAGCGTACGTGTTACTGTTCTTGCTGTGTCTGCTGTTTTTTTTTTTGTGTGTGTGTGTTTGTGGACAGGGGCCAATCGATAGAACTGCACAAAAGAAGGAGAATAGGGAGGAGGAATCCACCGGCTGGATTGATCCACCGAAGAAGAAGAAGAAGAAGAAAGGGGGTGTCAATTTTATAATATTAACAGGAGGACGAAGGGAGTCTTCGTCGTACACATCTCCCTCTTGGTGTATATTGTCCACACCACAGCAATGCGACTGCTGTTGTCTGTTCCACTTTCTGTGTGTGAGGCTCACGGCGCCGTTAAACGCCTTCTTCACTCAGATTTGTACAATACTTTTTTTACGTGTGATCCCAAAGGGTCTCATCTCGGCTCCGGTGGGGGAACGAGTTGGTTACTGGAGCGGTGCTATCAATCGGAACGAAACGACAGTGTGACGACAGAAGACGACGACGACTTTGAGGGGTGGCTGTTGCGTGAGCAGCGGATCATAATTCATAGCGGTGGACAGAGCCGACGGCTGCCCTCATATGGACCGTGTGGGAAGCTGCTTCTGCCCGTTCCTGTCTTTCGCTGGTCGCGTGGGCAGACGTGTGATCAGACGCTCCTCGATTTGCAGATGCCGCTCTACGAAGAGGTGATGCGGCGGGCACCTTCGCACCTGCGTACACTTGTGTCTTGCGGCGATGTTCTTATTTTGCTCAACCAACCGCTTCCACCCGCGCCAGAAGAAGCGGATGTGGTCTGCTACGCCGTTCGGGAGGAGGTGGACCGGTTGAGAAATCACGGTGTCTTCTTTTTGAGCCATGAGGCCCCCGATGAGTTGGATATGATGCTGCAGAAGCCGTCAATACGGGAGATTCACGAGTACACCGCCAACCGACGGTGCGTCATGGACATCGGCCTCTGGCTGTTGAGTGATCGTGCGGT